GCTGACTCAGCACACATTTATCAATTATTGGCTCAGTATTGGGCATATTTGATTGAGTTTAAGCAAGTTAGAGCAATTTAAGAAAAACACCATTTTCTTGAAAACCTCATTTTATTGAAATAAAATGATCGTAACGTCTTGAAAATTTGCTCATTTTTAGTCGTAAAAAAATCATTCGTATGTCATTAATTTAACTAAAACTCGTCCAATATGTAAAAAGTAAAAAAAACAAGCGTTTTACAACAACAAATCTAATTTCATACAGGCTCTTCCAATAAAGACCAAAACTATAGCAATAATTCAATAAACATCTTAGAGTTGGTTGGAAATGCTAACATGAAGCTTTAGTGTGATAATTTATTAGCTAGAGAATGATCTTTAAAATAGGGTAAGTGGATAGTTCCGTTAGAGTACGGCAGTATGAAAATTGAATAGAAGTTGAAAATGAGCGAAGGGCCATTTAATGCGACAGTTTTTAAAGTCAGACGCACATCTTTTGCCTAACCCGTACGATGTACGCGGAGACTTGCCTTACTCAAACGGAACTATCCACCTACCCTCTTCTAAGGATCATTCTCTAGCTAATAAATTATCACACTAAAGCTTCATGTTAGCAGTTCCAACCAACTCTGAAAATCGCAGACTTCGCGTATGAAGTGACATAAAAAAAAAAACATTTTGAATGCACTACCCAACTAACATTTTCAGCTTTGTAAGCCAACTTTTCCAGCGTTGTGCTGTAAAGTAGCTGAAAAGAAGCTGCAGATACAGCTACAAGCAAAAGCTAGCAAAATAGTTTTGGAGAGCGTTTACTCAACTTTCTCACAACCATTATTCAATTTGTCAGTCGCACTGAATAACATCAGCCAATAAACGCTAATGTCACTTCTATACACACACTAATCAACTTTCCACTTGTAGCTGCAAAACAAAGCTAACAAAGTGAATATATTACTCATTTGATGGCTTCTACACAACCAACCACTCTTGTTGAATAACATTAACATCAAAAGTGCCTTTTCAACAACTAAACAACCTGTACTCAGCTTATAAACTGTGTTAGAGCAAATTCGAAAGCATTTTCACAGTCAACTAGGTTTATTTTTAGACGTGTGAAGTTTTACAGCTTTTACTCTGCTCTTTTATAACTAGTCGAGAAAATTGATTCATGTGTACTATTATAAAGCCTCTACTCAGCGATTTTGTTGTAGAAGGGAATGTTGATTTGTTTACATAAGTTCAAAGTGTTGGCGTAGCACAGTTGGTAGTGTCAAGGTTTGCCGTCTAGAGTTCGATTCCAGGTTCCGGTGCAGGGTAAATAATTTGGTGATGATTTGCAACTAATTTCGATTAATTTGATTCACAGCAAAATAAACTCAATAAATTCCTTCATAAAAAAGCGTAAACAGTATTTAACCCGGCTTCAAGAGAAAGCTGTGTAGTGATTATTGGACAACCGGGAAAAGGTTGAATAAGCGCCTTTCAAGTTCACACACAACTAAATAGCAGGATAACAGCTGTATAGAAGCGTTAATGGATATGCAATAAGAGCTTCTCCCGACCGTTCCAACAGCCATAAGTAGCTGACTAAGTTCACCAGATTTGCCTGTATAGAGGTTGAATAAAGGTTTCCTCATATCGTATAACGTTTGAATACAGCTTGAGGCTGTATAAATGAAATGAGTAAAGCGTTTACATTGTGAAAATTGTTAGTTGGGTAAACATCTGTTCAACCACGCGACGATTTAAAAATATATATATACACCATGTTTCAAAAAATTGTCTTCTAGGTTGTACGATCAATTTTGAGTTACACTCTGTATATGTAACACTCACAACTTTTACTGCGTACGTACTACACAATATATTTCTTAATGATATCAATCATCACACTAAATGACTATTATAAGTGAAATGTCATAACAAGATAGCTTACGTAACGTAATATCAAATTTAGACTGAACTTGGCGTTAACCCAACTTTCCTATGATTTTTGTACCATTTTGAAAAATGAATCGATCTTTTGACCGATAAAGTGAATCGAGTATTAAAAAAATGAATATTCACTAAGATCGATTTTGCCTCAAGATCGCCCAATGCTAACTCCCACATACGGTGATTGAATAAGCACCGTTCGGCGAGACCGGATGGAATTCGATTTTGAAATCTGTGTTAGGGAAAGCGCTTTTTGCAGGCAATGGGTGATAATTTTGATCGCCATTGCAACAGTTGGACATTTGTGTAATTTTCAATAGTAACCTATTGAAAATTGATAAAATGTTCATTTATGTAGCTTCGTAGAAAAATTTCCAATCGATTGGATTGTTTAGAATAAAAATCCATCCGCTGTTGACAGAATTACATATAAGTGGTAAAAACCTGACCACTTTTCGTAACTTTTCGATTTTTGAAATTGCACCCCCAATATGTTGCTGAAAGACGTATTTCTACGTCAAAAGTGACTGCAGTGTTTTAATCACTAAGTGAAAAGTTGTGTCAATTGTGATATTAGGTAGCTAAGAACTTTTCGCAAGCACAAAAATAATTCATGTAAATTAGGAGCTGTACATAAACCAGCTAGAGCGTTTGTGGGATGTTTAGTAGACAAATGCCGAATCATTTTTTTTTAATTTATATGAACCGTAGACGATTCAGTTAAACACTCCCTTCCCACTCCTCAATGTCTGTTCAAATTCGGTTTGGGTCTGGCAGAAGTCTAGTTGGTGTCGGGTTAGCTTAGGTTTTTAGTCGGAATGACGGCCAGAGCTCCTTGCAGTAGTTCAATTGTAGATGATACACACTTTCAACTAATGAAGGAGCAGATTGATACCATTCATTCAAAGGAGGTCTCTTCTATAGTGAATCATGGCTATTCTCATTTTCATCGAATATTTCAATTGAATTTGAGAATTAGCAGCACTGTTCGCAGTTAACACTATTCTTCTTTTTCTGGGTAATTTTTGGGCATCTTCTGTGTAGGGCCGTTTCAATAAACGCACCGCGGTGATTGTTGAACAGAAATATGATAAGAGTCGCGTGTTCCTTCTAGGCAATTATTACATCGAATAGTATTTTTGCAGATTTCCCCCCTATCGTGGCCCAAACGCCAACAATTTCCGCATTGGCGAATAGGATACGCACAAGACGCGTTAGGCCTTCAAAGGTAAATATTATCGTGTACAATGTACTGTAGAACCATCATCGCCTATTTTGGTTATGCGTTGAAATTCCACAATACATAGATGGATTTCTTTTGACGCAGCGTTTTTTAAACCTCATCTGAGGGCACTTCTGGTTCAATTGTAACCCATGGGATGGCTCTCACAAAGTCTTCATCGGACTCCTTCATCAAAGATTTGTCAATTTTGGGCGCAAAAATGTTTCCATCAGTTGATTCCGTTGATCACCAAAAACGGTCCTGGATAGGAATCGTTGTATGTCCTCAAACGACGCGTCCACCATTGTATCGCTTAGCTGAGTTGATGAAACAAAGGGAGAAGGAAAATAAAAGGTTGTTAGGGTCAGGTGGTGCAAGAGTGTCACCCCTAATAATTATGAAAATAAACATCTTTCCAATGCTAGCTCACCCATGAAACTATGAATGGTGTTCCTAGCAGGATTATAGAAAGTTGTGTCCAAAATGAAGTCCTACAAAAATTGCAAAAAATCATTTTGTGTTGATTATAATAATTAGACATTTAAAGATTTTAAAATTTCTAACATTTTTTCCTACGATGCCTGCATTGAGGAATCACTATTAATGATTAATTGAAACATTAATAACAAATAATAGATAAATATTTTCCTAAATTGATCAAAACTCACCTTCTTAAAAATGAATCTCACACGGGGCAATAGTGCCACCCCTACATTTCACCACATTTGGCAAAACCAGCTACATAAAATATCATCAACAATAGTTTTAATTTGATTTCATTGGTAAACATAGTTAATATGTTATGTATTGAATAATATTGTAAAATTCAATAGTTAAATTGAATAAACAACTCGGTTTATAAACAAGCATTAATCGCTTTCACTCAATTTAAGACGCATAGCACTCTTGCCCCATCACAGTTAAAAAAAAATTGGGCTGACATTTTGAAAAAAATCGTAGACAACTTTTTACGAGATTTAATTTGCATTACATTACTGATGTTTGAAGGTGATAATATGAACTTGCAATACACTGTAGAAACTCCTATAAATAACCACTATCTGGCATATATAGAACGTACAATTGTTAAGGTGGCACTCTTGCCCTACCATACCCTATTGACTTGCTCCAGAGAGCGAACGATATCGATGTGATTTTCCGGATGCACAATTAAAACTCTAAAACCGTCTGTTATTGCGAAAGGGTCCCATCTTCTGTTCATGAGCGTTTGCAGTATTAAACTAATTATTGTTCATATGCGCTAGGGACACCCAACCAAGGATTTTCTTTTGCAATGTACTACCTCATCCTGTAACAAATAATCATTAGTTTTATTTATAATACTTTTTCTGGACGATATAACCATCGAATACCAATAATTGCTCAAAACACTTCTAAATTAAACATGTCCTTTTCTTTTTACACGATTCGGCTATACAAGTGGACGCATTCCAGGATGTCTTATCATCGCTCTATGTTTGCTTTCCAAGTTGTGGATGAATCTCGTTAGAGATTAGTTTCTGGCAATAATTTAAACACTTTCAAACATTTTACACACATACATATTTTACTACATTTTTTACAGCTCAGTTATCAGTTATGGGTTTGGAGTTAAACTTTCAGTTTCACAAAAAAAAAATACACAACTGTACAACTATCTAAGGGCTAGGCTAACTAACGAACTTAAGATCTCTGTGATTACAACACTGTTTTAGTAAAACTAATAATTGCAATGCGTTTCATTCTCATGCTCTTATTAACACGCGTAGTTTTCCTTTTGTTAGATTAATGTATAAAGGAGATTTAGATTTTTTTTTCTACAATGTTGCGAGCGAAAAGAGGCTAGGTATTTCACTTTTTGCTGTGCTGCAGTGTCCGCGTTGTTGTGTCGATATATTTGGACGTATACGACAGCAGCATGTGGCGTTGCTTGATGTGCTTGGCCCGGACGTGTGCCGACGGCATCTCCTTGGTGTAGTTGCTGGGAAACCATCCGACAGACCCGTCCCGAATCCGTTCCCCTTCGTACCAGCCTAGTGTTATTTTCCAATGAAGAAAACATGTTATCGTGTTTTAAATTTTAAGCGAAAGTAGCATTACCGTCAGCCATCTTTCGATGCACGTTTACGACATCCGTAATGTCCAGATCCAGTTCGTCGGGTTGCAGTGCGTGGTAGGGATGGATAGCCACCACCTGAGGGCAGTCCCACTGTTCATAGATCTTCTCGTCGGGATTCTCCGACGACAGAGGTTCCGTCACCTTGAGCCACCGTTCGCGTTCCGTTTCCGATGGGCAGCTGATGATCTAGAGTTTGAGGGGATGAATTTTATAACATATCAATATTGTCAACAAAGACGAATACTATACCATTTCGATGGTCTTTCCTTCGTGGTTCTCCAGCAACGTCATGATGATCAGGTGTTTTCCAATGGCGTGCATCTCCTTAGTCGGCAACTGCGGCACGATGTCGCCGGAGTTGACCGACAGGAGGGCACGTGGACAGTAGTCCGTGACTAGGAAGGTTTCGTCTCTGCAATAATATAATAGCATGCCGAAAGAGTGAACTTTTTGAAATTCCCTTTGAAAAACAATCCAAACCTACCCCTTCTTTTTGGTCAACACAATCAGATCGGTGAACAGGAACGCGTAGATGTTGCTCTTGCTGAACTTCTTGCCGAACGTCAGCTTGGCTTCGTCTCCTCGCCACAGCAGATGTACCAATTCGCCCTTCTTCTCCAGCTTCCGCATCACACTGCCCGGTGGTCCGATGCCACAGGGCACAATCGCCAGCGGTCGGATGTGCGACGGGAACTCAATCTGCCGCGAAATCACCTCCATCTCGTGCATCTGCTCACTCCGATGGGCCGCATCGTTGCACTGCTTCAGGATCTGATTGATCAGTACATAAGTCTTCTCCCAACTTACAAACTCATCGTCATCCGATTTAAGTCGTTGGAGAACCGCATCCAGCAGCAGCCGCATCCGAGTTATCCGTTGCATTGGAAGCATCAAAAACGAGGACAGACTTAGGCCACAGCAAATCGGATCCGACTCCAGCTCCAGAAGGGTTTTGCTGAATTCGGGTTTGTTGGCCTTGAGGTTCTTCAAAGATCGATCGATTTTCGCCTGGTGCTCGCAATAGTTGACATACACGTGGAAGTGCTTCTCGGCGTGCTTGTAGATGCTGTGACTGAGTCCGAGTAGCATGATGTTGTCCTGCCAGCAGTTTTCCAGATCGCAAAGAAGGCGATCGGAGCACTCCTGCACCGGAATGATGTTGGCGAAGAGCGTCTTCCGCTCGGATGACGTAAGGACCTTGACGTCCCGGAAGGCCGGATGGTTGATGAAGTGGGACCTGAGCAGGTTCAGCGACTTGAGGTACGAGGCTTCCGATGTGAGGATCTCAAATTTGGCCTCCTGGAGGCGCTTCTCGGTCGGAGTTAGGGTTACTGGAAAGAAGGAGCAATTTTTAGTTAGTGGAATTGATATCCTGAACAAATTCGGATCGTTGTGTCTGGGAAGTGATTGTTCACATCATTACTGCTGATTGAATGCCAAATAGCAACTGGGAGCTATTAAACAATTTTTCTATTTGTTTTCAAGTCACTGAAATGCCGACCACCACCAGATCGGGGACGAATTTGATAAACACAATTTAACGATAGAGGGATGCAAATATTGAAATTATTGCTCCACAGTGAGTGGAGCGAAAAGTGGTCTTCAGTCACAAAAGTGCAGCTATCAAGCTTTTTCTCAGAGAAATATGGTAAAAGGTTAGACGGTAATACAAAAAGTTTGCTTACCCCTTAACAATTTACATATAAACTTGAAATGGATTGTGTAAAGTCAGTTTTTAACCAAACAAGTTTAAGTTTTGGGAGGCTATTGAGGACCCGATTAGAATAAAATGTTAACAGATTTCATAGAAGAACCTTTCCATGAATTTTTGAAACTCAGAGCTTTTGAATGTAAAGATGAATTTTATGCACTGAATACGCTTTCTTAAGTAATTTGAAACCAAAATCTTCTAAGTGAATATTTTTCTAAATGCAGCCATTTTCGAGATATATTGAAATTAAATTCGGAAAAAAAATTGTTTGTATAAGCCTTTTTCTTATATTGGTCGTGTTTATTTATTGTTTCAATGATTCATCTGACATATGATTGCCACCTGTCACCATTTGCAAGAGAGTTCGTGGGGCAATACCAGGCGGGATTCATGGGTGCCCGCGCTGCCACGGACCAAATTTTCGTGATTCGGCAGGTTCTGCAAAAATGCCGCGAATACAACGTGCCCACAAATCCGCATACGACACAATCGATCGAGATCAGCTATGGCAGATTATGCACGAGTACGGATTTCCGGATAAACTGACGCGATTGGTCAAGGCGACGATGGATCGAGTGATGTGCGTTGTTCGAGTATCGGGGACACTCTCGAGTTCCTTTGAATCTCAAAGGGGGTTACGGCAAGGTGATGGACTTTTGTGTCTGCTATTCAACATCGCGTTAGAAGGTTTGATCAGAAGAGCTGGGATAGACACGAGTGGCACGATATTCAGGAAGTCCATCCAGCTCCTTGGCTTCGCCGATGACATTGACATTATGGCACGGAACTTTGAGATGATGGCGGAAACGTACATCAGACTGAAGGCTGAAGCTAGGCGGATTGGACTTGTCATGAACACATCAAAGACAAAATACATGAAAGGAAGAGGTTCTACGGAAGACAATGTTAGCCTCCCACCCCGAGTTCAGATTGACGGTGACGAAATCGAGGTGGTCGATGAGTTCGTTTATTTGGGCTCACTGGTGACCGCCGAAAATAATACCAGCAGAGAAATTCAAAGACGCATTATGGCAGGGAATGGTGCCTACTTTGGACTCCGGAGGACGCTCCGGTCGAATAAAATTCGCCGCCGCTAGAAGTTGACTGTCTACAAGACGCTGATTAGACCGGTGGTCCTCTACGGCCACGAGACCTGGACTATGCTCGTGGAAGACCAACGCGCCTTTGGTGTTTTCGAACGGAAGGCGATGCGTACCATCTACGGTGGAGTGCAGATGGATGACGGAACGTGGAGGAGGCAAATGAACCACTGCTGCTGGGAGAACCATCCAACGTCCACATTGCAAAAATTGGGCGACTACGGTGGGCTGGGCACGTCGTTAGAATGCCGCACGACGACCCAGTGAAAATGGCTCTAGAAAGCGACCCAACAGGAACAAGAAGAAGAGGTGCGGACCGTTCGCAGACTACGAGGCTGGCGAAGTGTGGCCATGGATCGAGTTGAGTGGAGACGACTTCTTCGGATAGCAGAGGACAACAAGGCCTTAGCCTGATTGGTAAGGTAAGTATGGTTGTCTTAATGAATTAAAAAAGTAAAATTAAAACAAAAACAGGACACGTTCTAATTCAGGGCAGTCTTCTAATAAAACAGTTAACGGCACATTAATGTCACAATGCAGGTGTACAAAATTACGCTGTCTAATCACTCTCTCAGGTGCGTAAAAGAAAAGCTGCCGAAGTAATTCGGGGGAATCAATCTCGCTGGTAATGATCTTACCAGCAAACACAGCTTGAGCGTTCCGTCTTCTTTGTTCAAAGGTGTCAATTCCACGCCAAGGCAGATGACGAAGCACGTAGCGAACAAACTTTCTTTGTAGCGGTAAGCATGATTGCCTCTCACCCCAAAAGGCCTGGGTTCAATCCCAGTCGGCTCCGCCGGGATGGTCTGAGGCATAACATCTCTGATCACGCCTTCCTTCGGAAGGAAAGTAGAGACGTTGGTCCCCGGTTCATGATTTGATGGGTTGATAGGTAGGGTCCAAGTGTGGAAGCTGCCTCCCTGGCGTCAGTAGCATTGGTGCTCAGCACGGAAAACAATATCGACGGAAAACAAATCAAGGTAAAAAAAAGTAGAAGGGTCTGTGCCTAAGGGCACGAACGGAAGCTTGACGTAGGACCGCTAGTGGACGGGATAAATGTGAAGAGCATTTAGTTCTTTTAATTGATCAATTACCTATTATCTCAACTCTTTTCGTTTTTGAATTGTAGGCGTACCAAATTTTTCAAAGAGAAAGTTGATTAAGAGAATCAATCAAAATCACTTGCACCCCTGCTTCCAAGTTTGGTTACAAGATTACAACTCTGGAGAGCAGTGTGGAGTGTGGTCGTTGGGGGCTTGTGGTTTTGAATATGGAAAAACAAGCACAGATAAATTCTATTCCAACTCTTTACTGATGTAAGCTTGATGGCCCTGAAAATGGCCGTTTAATTGAAGAGGACATCCATGGCCATTTACGCTTGGCGTGTTTAGTGTAGGTGACAGCATCACGGACCTCATTTTCCAGGAACACCTTCAGCACACCTCGTAGATCAGACCGGAGATACCACGGCGAGCCAGACGACCGATGGCGGTTATCTGGAAGAACTTTGCGAAGACGCTTGGCGCCTCCCTTACCAGACCTTTTCCTCCTTTGCCACGACCAGTCAATTGTTGCTTGTTAGGTGTTAAGGAGTGGACTAGCCACCACCTTCCTACTGCTACTATAGCTGTTCACCACAAAAACTCCTCCCATTATGAGTAGTTTGCTATCAAGTAGCGACACTGGCTCTTTTCCTTTTGCGTAACCGGCGAATGAGAACGACCCATTTTGAGTTTAGTTCACTCATAATCGCCAAAAGTGCAGGAACTCAGCGATGAGTAAATTTGTGTCGTGGTTTCCTGTGAACCTAAAAAATCTGCCAGAGAATGAGGAACACATAACACGCGACGCGAATGAGGAAATTGACGAAAATTTTATTCAGCCTCGGAGTAGTACCAATAGACTGAGTGAATCCAATCTTTACTTTTCTCAAATTCGGGAATTTTTCCCTGGAAAATCCTGGAAAAACCTGGGAAAAAATGAGGCAAATTTACTCATCGCTGAGTTCCTGCACTTTATTTCTTATTTCTGAGATAACTAAACTCAAATTTGGGTCGTTCTCATTCACCGTGATATCACCTTGAAATATATCGGCGCTGGTGGTTAGCGTGATTATTTTTCAGGAACACCTTCAGCACACCTCGTAAATCAGACCGGAGATTAGTCAGACACCGCCACGGCGAGCCAGACGACGGAAGGTGGTTATCTTTTTTTTTTTTTTATATTGCGTTTATTTTTCCAGGCTCATTTGCCGTAGCTTTGCGGAGCCGATATTCATTGTTTAGATTACAAAGTTTCTTAAAACTAACGTTAGTAAAACGGGGGCCGATTACTCGCGGCTATCTCGAGGTTAGGGGCAACACATTTTAACAAATGGATGGCAGGGTAGGGATTGAGAACACAAGGTTTGGAGAGCAATGTGCTCTTGATCTCGAACTAAGCGACCAACTGATGAAAAAGACAAACATGGGGGTACACCGATGGGCAGCTAACAACTTGGGGGAACACAAGATGACACTAACTACTAAATCCTCAGATCGATCCGTTTTAAAAACACATAAATTAAATTAAAATATTCGAGATCTCGGCTCGCCAAGATGTCTCTAACGGGCCGCAAAGGTTGTTTTCCTCGGGCCCTGAGGGATGCGGATAACTCGGATCTAGCAACACAATGTAAAGTGCATGACCAAAGCACGTGGTCGGTATCGTGATAGCCACTACCACAAGCGCACAAATTGCTGCCTGCGAGCCCGATTCGGAAGAAATGCGAGTCTAACGAGTAGTGATTGGACATGAGCCTTGATATGACCCGTATAAAGTCACGGCTCATGTCCAATCCTTTGAACCATGGCTTGTTCGACACCTGTGGGAGAATAGAATGTAACCATCTTCCCAGATCACTCTCATTCCATTTTTGTTGCCAGTTGGTGAGGACGTGCTGATGGGTAATTGAGAAAAGTTCCGCAAAGGCGATTTGTCGATCAAAAATATCGCCTTCCATAGCGCCCACCTTAGCTAGCGAGTCCGCTTTCTCATTACCCGGAATTAAGCAATGAGATGGGACCCAAACTAAGGTGATAGTATAGGAGCAGTTAGATAAAGTACTCAATTTTGCTCGGATTTCGGTAAGGAAATACGAGGAGTGCTTCATCGGCCTCATTGATCGAATAGCCTCCAACGAGCTAAGGCTATCTGTAAAAATAAAATAGTGATCAGATGGTAGTGAGGCAATTTGCTCTACTGCGTAGAATATGGCTGCTAGTTCCGCAACGTATACGGAACAGGGTTTCTGCAGTTGATATGAGGCGCTATGAAATTCGTTGAATACTCCAAATCCAGTGGAAGCGTTTATAGTTGACCCATCTGTGAAAAAACTGTTATTGTTACTGACATGGTGGTACTTGTTTGCAAAAATTAAGGGAACAACCATCGACCGATGGTGATCTGGTATTCCACGGATTTCTTGCAACATGGTCAGATCAAAATTTACAGAGGAACTATAAAAGTCTTGGAGGCAAAC